AGATCACCCTGTGAGGTTACTTTCTGTAGAAACCTTTTCCCTCTATACCCTCTGGGACTGCTTCACACCCTAGAGTAGGGGTCCTCAGCCCCCTGTCTGTGGACCAGTGCAGGTCCATGGCCTGTTAGGAGCAGGAAGTGAGCGGTGGGTGAGGGGTGAAGCTTCCCTCTAATTACCACCTGAGCTCCACCTCCTGTGGAAAAATTGTCTTCCATGAACCTCTCCCTGGTGCCGGAAAGGCTGGGGACTGCTGCTCTAGAGGAAAATTTTCCTCATGAATCCAACTCCATGAAGATTCTTAGTCACTTAAGAATGGCTGAGCAAGGGCCAGGGAGAGCTTGATGGATGCCACCAGAACTGTCATGCTTTCTGAGGCATAGGCCTTTCTGTCAGGGTGAACTCATTGATGGCATTTTGCCTTCCCTGAAGAAGTTTCCCTTCGGCGGCTTTTCCAGCTTCCCTGTGTTACCATATGGATGCCTGGAGGAGCCCACCTCACCGCTCAGATTTGGGTATCTGCAACAGGTACTGGCACTCCATTGGCTATTTGGGTTGGCAGAGCAAGAGTCATTTCCGTTTCGGAGCTAAAGAGAGTTGGGTCTCTCATTTAACCAGCAAAGATTTTGTTAAGACTCTCAGTCAGCAATCCACTAAAAAGCTGAGATTAATAGCAGCTATCCTTTTCTTTTCCTTCTCTTTTCCCTGGGTTATCTCAGCCTTTACCCATCTTGATGATTTTCTAAGGACAGCTCAAATAAAGTCAGGACCTGTTACTTAAAGCAGTGGGGCCTGGGATTCCGAGGAAAAACTCACAGTCACCTGATGTAAAGCGGGGAGCCAGCGGGGCAAAATGGGCCCTTGCTAGTATCTAGCACCAGTTCTGAGTCCTCAGAGTGGTTCTGGTGTGTTTCCTCAGAGTCTTGTCATATCCATACAATTTTTCATTCTTTGTATAAAAACATATATAAGGCTTTTGACTGTTTAACTGCTTCCTCAGGTCTTCATTTTCCTTCTGAAGACTCCTGCGTAGAGGTAAAAATAATAACTAAACATGTAAGCTTTTCTGTTAGTGTGTTTTACATTAAAAAGAAATTTCACCCCCTATTTATTGAATTTATTAGGGTGATGTTGGATAACAAAATTATACAGGTTTCAGGTGCACAATTTTACAACACATCATCTGTACACTGTATTGTGTGTTCTCCACCTCAAGTCAAGTCTTTGTCCATCACCACTTACCCCCCTTCCCCATACCATGTTAATTTTAGGGGGGTCCTCCACCCGCTAAACTGCATTCTGTCAGTTTAATTCTTGGGCTAGCCACAGAACCTAAGAGGGTAGAATGAAGGTTTTATTTATTCTCCTACAACATATATGTAAGACAACCACAGGGACAGATTTGACAGTCTTTGTTCTTTTTTGACGGGGGGAGTTATCTTTTTGACGGTCCATCTTTCATATTGTCTAGTTTTAAGAATTTTGTAGTAATGAAGCTGTTAATTTTCCTTTGTAAGTTTTTGAAAAAGTTGCAGACACAGTTCTCTCAAAGAAGACTACTAATTTTGGTTTTCACTAGCAGAATAGTTTGTCTTTTTTTCTTCCTAAAATAGTAATTGTTTTCATTAGAAAAATAATAAATTAAATCATTTTTTTTTTCCTTAAAGGACAGGCAGAAAAACTAATTACAATCTTGTTTAAATTTACAATTGGGTCTAGAAAAAATTTTTGTTACCCTTTAGAATTTGAAAGCTTCACTTTCATTTACTTGTTGCTTTAGATCAGTGATTTTCAACCTTTTTCATATCATGGCACACATAAACTGATTTCTGAAATCCTGTGGCATACCAAAATATTTATTATATTTTTTGCCAATCTGGTTAAAAAGTAGGTATAATTTTGATTGATTTACAAAAATAACAATAGTAATTACCTACCCTTTTTGCTCCAGGGTGACTTTTAGCCTGGCTGGTGTGGCTCAGTGGACTGAGTGCTGGTCTGAGAATCAAAGGGTTGCAGGTTTGATTCCTGGTCAGGGAATGTCTGGGTTGTGGACTGGGGTCCCCAGTTGGAGGTGTGTGAAAAGTAACCAATTGTTTCTGTCCCTCTTTTTCTCCCTTTTTTCCTCTCTCTGAAAATAAATGAAATCTTTTTAAACAAAAAACAAAATGACTTTTAAAAAAATCAGGTGCCTATACTTGCATATAAGGATTTCTTGTACCATGAATTAACCAATCAGATGCAAACTTATTATATCATGTGACCATAAGATGCAATTCTGTTATATGATCTATGTATTTATGGTTTAAGACAGGGCATTCATACTGAACTGCTGTTGTTGTGTTGGCTGTAGTCATTTTTTTCATTTGACAGTCTAAGAAAAAAGAGGTCAGTGCCCCTGACTAAATAGTCAGGTATTGCATGTTTTAAATCACTGCTTTAGGTACATCTCTAATTCTCATTGACTGCTGGCTTACACATCACAATGGAGAATAAGTCTGTCCCCAGAGTAAGTCCAACATCATCATTTCAGCAACATAGTGTTGCTGAAGCCTTATTATGTGATTGCCACAACTGGATTATGAATATTACTCATCCAGTGATGTGTTCACTGTGTCAACAACATCTGATAATTGTGGAGAGGATTACATCAGACTAGCTGTGCCATAGAGCACTGTTGGGTCACTGGTGGCTAGTATGGAGACCATGGGTGAAAGACCCTTTTCTTCATGCTGCAGAAGATGATGGACTTTATCCCCCTGTGGAAAATATACGAATGGAGAGAACAGATTCTAAAGCTCCTTAGATGACATTGGAGGATATAGGATTTTACTGAATTTCCCTTGTTTTTTGGATAGCTAATCAGAAGACAACATATAAAGATTAGTAGCTGAGAGAACCCTGAAAAATCTGCTTTGGAACATTTAACTGTGGCATTTAGGTAAGATATATGGGTGAAGGGAGTCACAGACGCGGGGTTCAGGATTGTCCCTCGGGTTAGGGATGGTGGCCACATCCTCATTAGCTGAAAAGGTATGGGCATTTTGAGGAAGTAAAGTGGTTTGTTTTACCATTGTGAACATTAGGAATTGGGATTAGTGATCTGGGAATGGGGTCAAGGTGACAGAATGATAGGTAAAATCTTGGTGGGAAAATATTAAGGCTTTTCCTCACATTTTAGTACACAATGGAGAGTTCCTGAGAAAGCTTCTTGAGTAAAATTCTTTGTTTTGTCAAAGAAAAATTGAGAGAAGGGTGTAAAAATGATTTGAAGTTCTAAAACAATTTATTTTTTGTCTTTTTTATATTGCTCTGTCACCTTAAATAAACCTCTTATTAAATCTGAGGTTCTTGTTCTCAACTTTGCCCTATGTGAGTTGGTATGCTGGGTCAAATTTCTCATTCAGAGATGCCTGTATTCTGCTTCTGATGTGTTGCGGAAGTGCATGACTGTCTTCCTTGATTTCAATCTCAAAGCTTTGTTTTTACCTGGAAAAATAGATGTCATTATTATGTCTTATACAAATCACATAAACTTAAAAATATAATTAATATTTTCAATGTAAACTACTACTTGAAGGGAATTAGTTCCTTTAAATTTAGTTCCACACCCTGGCCGGTGTGGTTCGGTAGATTGAGCACCAGCCTGTGAACCAAAAGGTCACCGGTTCAATTCCCAGTCGGGCACATGCCTGGGTTGAAAGCCAGGTTCCCAGTAGGGGGTATATGAGAGGCAACCACACATTCACGTTTCTCTTCCTCCCTTTCTTCCTCCTTTCCCTTCTATCTAAAAATAAATAAATAATATCTTTAAAAAAATCAATTTAGTTCCATAATTTTATTTATACTAATCCTATTTCTTTCACACTTAACTGGGTGGCCTTAGCTCTAAAATACCAGTATTAAGATCCTATTATTCATGCTTTTTAGTAACTTTAATCACTTCTTAGTATTACATTTCTAGGCTGAAGAGTTCTCTATTTTTATTTTTCCCTCATATATTAGACTGCGGGTTTTATGCTGATATGAAGCTTTTTTGGGCATCTTTGTTTTCTCTTGCTGTGGTCCAACGGAAATGAAGCACATCAAGCCATGGACGTAGTTCCATGGAAAGCTATGGATTTTGTCTAGCCAATAACAAGAATTTTGACAGTTAAGGCAATTACCTCTTCAGAGTATGACGAATTCCCCTTAGAACTGAATGTGAAGTAAACATTTTTCAATGCCAACTCCTACACTGTACTTCCTTTTCTTATAGAATAAGTATGTAACGAAACCTGTTCTTGTTTTCTAAGTTAGAACTCAAATGAAAGCTCACATGTAGAAAAATCGCTCATTCAGTGTAAATGGACACAGTATTATTTAATGTTGAAATAATTTCTGATCTCCTATTACATGAAAAACATTATAAAAATCGTTCTGAATTGTATTCTAGGAGTGAATGTCGCACGTTTGTTTCTGAGAGTAGGGCATAAATCATAATACCTTAATGGGCACTAAAGGGCAAACGCTTTTGTTTTCGTAAGATTTGGCTAATGCCTTCGGATTTATTTCTGAAGCTTTCACAGGCGACACGGAACTATATATATAGGCCGTTGGCAGAAATACACCATCTATCCTAAATCCCTAAATTTTGGCTTCTTCCCAAGGTGTAGAACTCGTAACCATAGAGACTGGGAAAAGCATCGACGAGCTAGGACTGCCCCCGCCTCTTCTGATCTAAACTGCTTCCCTTTTCGGTAGGAGGGAAAGAACGAAGGGAATTTAGGAGAGCGCCCGCGGAGCGCTTTCTCTCGGTTCCTTAACGCTCAGCATTGCTTTCACTGAGTCCCTGGCTGAACCACAATTCCCAGGACGCACCCAGGTTCTAGGTTGTCAAAAAGGGAGCTTCTGGTTTTGGCCAGCGCGGCTGCGCTCGAGGTGAGGTCTTATTGGATCTTACCTCCTCGTGCGATTTACGTCACGGCGACGTGCGGTCGTGGGGGCGGGCAAACGCGGCGGCGGCGGTCGCGGCGGCGCGCGCACGACGTCAGACTCGGTATCGCGGCGGCGGCAGTGGCACGGCTACACCGGGTTGGGCCCCTTCCCTTCTCCGTCCCCCCCTCCTCCCCCTCCCCTCAGCTGTGGTTCCCGAGGAGTTCGACACGAGCTGCGAGGCGGCGACAAGCTCTAAGTGAGTGTCTCCGGAGTGTGAGTGCCGTTTCCCGGGCGAAGAGGTACAGCCTCCGGGGTCGGGGAGGAGGCGAGGGCTGAGGAGGCAAGTGTCCGGGCGTGGGTCGGGAAGCGCGCGCTCGTCCCAGCCCTGGACTTAGCTTCCTAACGTGACCCGCTGCCCCCGGACAGTGTGCAGTGTAGTGGACGGCGCGACGCACCGTGAGGGGCCTGGATCCGCCCTCCTTTCAACCGCTGTCTCCTGAGCCTGGCACCCACCGCCCGTCTTGTCCCTCCTAGCGGAGGGTCCAGAGCCCTCTTAGCTCTCCTCCCTTGGCGTGCAGTCGTCCTTACTTGCTGCCCACCGAGGGAATCTGCCCTCCGTTTCTTCATTTCCGTTTCTTTCTATCACTTCTGGGGTTTCTTTGGTGCAGGTTTCGAATGGGTTCTGCTTAGTACTCACTACTTTGACAGTATATGTATTGGGAAGATTTTCCTCTCTTTTTAGGTGGCTTTTCGGGCAGCCTAGTTGGCAGAGTAACTTGGGCCCTGTTTTTCCAAACCTTGTCGGGCTTTTCGTCTGTCAGTGCTCACTGAGAGACATGCTTTTAAAACTGCCGAAAACAGGATTTAAATCAACGTTATGGGGTCTGTGAGAGAGTTTGGTTTGAAAAATAATAGGTTCTTTTCTTCTCCTCCTGGCTTTGACCTTATTTAAACGTTTGCTTCTGGAGTTTTAACAACTTAACATGATGGCTAACAGTGAATTTTGTTAGAAACACTCAAATGTCCAACTGACATTTTATTGGTTGATCTGACTTTATTGCAGGTTGTTGACTTTTTAAAAAAAAAGGACAATGTATTTTAATACTTTTATTTTTGGACTGGATTTCTCAGGCTTAAGCGTTATTCCCATTGTGTGTCTTCCAAAAACAGCCCCCCACCCCCGGCAGCATTTAAAACTCCAAGAAATATGTCATAACATTTAAAATAATTTGACCACAAAACTCTTCCCTATGAAATGTTAAAAATAATTCCTTTAAGGCCAAAACTTTGGTTTGGTTGGGGGGCAGAGCATACACTTTTGTCCCTTCCGTAGTGTGAAGTGCTCTCATACCGAGGGCCAACTTTATGTCTTGTCATTCACTACACTTTGACACTTACTCTTTTAGCGTTTCATAGATTTTTCTTTCCTAATTTTTCATGTCACAGAAATTTAATTTCTGAAGCTGTTAGTTGTTCATAGGTGTTTTCTTTCTCAGAAATTTGTCAAGAGTGATGATTATTATCTGTAACTAAAGTCATTTCATCAGTACTCAGGACTTCCACACATGTGGAACTTTGAAAAATTTCAAATTGATTTAAATATGAAGGGCATATTTCTTTTAGCTTCTGTTTTACCTGCCCACCTACCAGTGTAGTTTCTATTTAGACTTTAGACACATTTTCTCTTTTTACTAGGATACTAGGCGTGACAGGATTTCCCGAAAGTTTTTCTATCTCTAGACTTGTATGAGTTAATAAGTGATTGTTTTTTTTCATCGATAGTGTCAATATAGCTGGTGCACTTTCTTTGGTATAAGTCACATTTTGTATTCCAAAATGAACATGACTTTGTTTTATTCTTCATTTCAGGGGTCAGCAAACCTAACAGCTTGTGGGCCAAGTCCCGCCAGCTGCCTGTTTTTGTAAATTTTTTATTGGGACATAGTCATACGCATTCATTTAGATATAGTCTATGGTTACTTTGTGGTGCAACGGTAGAGTTGAGTAATTCGGCCATAGACCCATATGACTTGCAGAGCCTAAAATATTTATCATCTGGACCTTAATAGAAAAGTTACCTGAGTTCTATTTTATTTTATTAAAAATGATGCATATTCTATGTAGAAAATTAAAATGAGTAAGAAAAGTATAAAGGAGAAAGTAAAAATTATCCAGAATCACACCACTCAGAAGGGTTTGTCTTTGATTATCCTTATGGAATGTGAGTGATTATTTTTATATAAATTGGCTCAAATTTTTGTTAATTTGTAATTTGCTTAAAAAAAATCTTAGGTTATTTCTTTTTGGCAATTCAATACACGGGTATTTTCTGCATCAAAGATCCTGCACTTGATGAACCAAGTTGTCTTGATTTGTTTTACTAGTCAAAGATTTACAAAAATTTAGAATAATAGATACTTGATAATGAATAACATATGCGATGGTGGTGGTGAACATCATTTATTGAGCATTTATTATGTGCTAGATAGTTTTCCAACACTCTACATGTAGTAAGTCATATAATACCAGTAGCAGTTCTGGGGGTACACATACTGTTATCCCTATTTACAGATGAGGAAACTAAGGCACAGAGATATTAAGTGCCCAAATTTATCAGCTAGTTAATGGCGAAGCTGGGATTTGAAACCATGCAGTATGGTTTCAGGACCGAGACTCTCAGTATGCTACAGAGCCTCTCCTTAAAGTACTGTTCAGTGTAGAAAGTTTAGACAGTCCAGAGGTATATTATGTAAAAATTCACTGTGTTCTTTTCATTTCACTCTTCTTTCCATTTCCATTTGCAAAGTTGCAAATTTCCATTTGCAGGTTTAAGTAAAATTAATACTTTATTTTTTAGAGCTGTTTTATATTTACAGAAGTTTATGCAGGTAGTACAGAGAGTTCCCATATTATCCATCCCCCATTTTCCTTGTTAATAACATCTTCCATTAATGTGGAATATTTGTTACAGTTAATGAACCAATATTGTTGCATTACTATTAATTAAAATTTTGTTTATATTAAGGCTTATTTTTTTGTGTTGCAGAGTGTTCTCTGAAAAAAGTGAGATCAAACCAGTCATTGTTTTTTTCTTTTTTAAATTTTTCTTTTTTAAATATATTTTATTGATTATGCTATTAGTTGTCCTATTTTTCCTCCTCTTTATTCCCCTCCACTGCCCCACCCTGTCACCCAGCATTTGCATCACCCCCCCACCCCACCTTAGTTCATGTCCATGAGTTGTACACATAACTTCTCTGGCTTCTCCATTTCCTGTACTATTCTTAACCTCCCCCTGCCTATTTTGTACCGACTATTTGTGCTACTTATTCCCTGTACCTTTTCCCCATTCTCATCCCTCTCCTGATTACCATTTCTATGATTCTGTTCCTGTTCTAGTTGTTTGCTTAGTTTGTTTATGTTTTTAGGTTCAGTTGTTGATAGTCGTGAGTTTGTTGTCATTTTATTGTTCATAGGTTTTGATCTTCTTTTTCTTAGATAAGTCCCTTTAACATTTCATATAATAAGGGTTTGGTGATGATGGACTCCTTTAACGTGACCTTATCTGGGCAGCACTTTACCTGCCCTTCCATTCTAAATGATAGCTTTGCTGGATAGAGGAATCTTGGATGTAGGTCCTTGCCTTTCCTGACTTTGAATACTTCTTTCCAGCCCCTTTTGCCTGCAAGGTTTCTTTTGAGAAATCATGTGATAGTCTTTTCTCCTTTGTAGGTAACTGTCTCCTTTTCTCTTGCTGCTTTTAAGATTCCTTATCTTTACTCTTGGGTAATGTAATTATGATGTGCCTTGGTGTGTGCTTCCTTAGGTTCAACTTCTTTGGGACTCTTTGAGTTTCCTGGATCTCCTGGAAGTCTTATTTCCTTCACCAGATTGGGGAAGTTCTCCTACACTATTTTTTCAAATAAGTTTTCAATGTCTTGCTCTTCCTCTTCTCCTTCCGGCACCCCTATGATTTGGATGTTGGGATGTTTAAAGTTGTCTTGGAGGTTTCTATCTTCCTTTTTTTGAATTCTAGTTTCTTCATTCTGTTCTGGTTGAATGTTTATCTTGTCCGTCTGCTCCAAATCGTCGATTTTGAGTCCCAGTTTCCTTCCCTTTTCTTTTGGTTTTGTGTAAATTTTTCTTTATTTCACTTTGTGGAGCTTTCACTTTTCTCTCCATTTTGCGACCATACTCAACCAAATGGAGTGAGTGTCCCGATTACCAGTGTTTTGAACTGTGCATCTGATAGATTGGCTATCTCCTCATCGCTTAGCTCTTTTTGGAGCTTTGATCTGTTTTTTCATTTGGGCCATAATTCTTTGTCTCAGCGCACCTGTTAGGTTGGGAGGGGCAGAGCCTTAGCTATTCACCTGGGTGGGGCAACCTACCCAGGTTCCAGAGTTGGGACGCTGTCTGTCAGGGAGAGGTCCGAGAGGGAACAATGCCGCTTGCTTGGCTCAGCTGCTTTCAGTCACTTCCCCCTGCTACCCACAAGCAAGTTGGGCCATTCTGGTGCTGATTCTCAGGTGGTTTGTGTATATACCCTAGGACCCTGTGGGTCTTTCCAACGAACTCTCCTTTGAGGCTAGGAGTTTCTCCTGCTTTATCTCCCATAGATTTTTACAGCCAGAGGTCTTGAGGCTTTCTTTGCATGCACTGGAACCCAGTATTGTGTGGTCTGTCTCACTCCCCAGCTGTTCCTCATGGTTTATCCGCACACAGATGTGGGACTGCCCAGTTTACCAGCCACCACCTCGCCCGCCCGGTCCTCCAGCTGCCGCCTTGCCCATGTCCTCTCCACCCTGGCTCCCTGTCTCTGCCCCTCCTACCAGTCTGGATTAATGCTTCTTCTTTAGCTCCTTGGTTTTCGGACTTCCACATATTTCGATTTTCTGGCAGTTCTGGTTATTTTTTGTTTTTAAATACAAAACAAAAACTTTTATTTTTGTTGTTGTCCTTCTTGTGGTTGTGTGAGGAGGCAGAGTGTATCTACCTATGCCTCCATCTTGGCTGGAAGTCCAAACCAGTCATTGTTGAGCACTGTGTTTTGGGTTGGTTTTGAAAATAATAGTGCTTCTGGACTTTTTGATGCAAATAAACATTCGTGATTCACTAGTTTGCAGATTAATGACACAAACTTAACATTTTCTTTGGAATGGGAAACTTGCTAGGGAGTTACACCATTCCTTTAATCTTTTTCAAAAGTTCATCTTGTAGTTCCAGCTGCTTTTCTCTGAAGTAATGCTTATAATTTTTTGACTGGATGTTCTGGCTCTTCCTTGGAGCTATTCAGTTT